AGAGCCTGGCAGCTGCGGCTGCCACCCCTCCCAGGGGTGTGCGTGCAGTGAGGGCTGGGTGGGGCAGAGGCAGTCCCCCCAGCGATGCCTGACACCCACACACATTCCTGTGGGAGCTGGGTGGGATTGCCTCTTACCTTCCGTCCCGTAACCCACTGTCTTCTTTACACAATAGCCTGTGAATAACTTCACATCACCCAACATTCTCTCAGGCCTGACTCTCACGGCTGCAAAACAGCCACTTCTCCATCTTACTCAGCTTCCCTCTCCTGATTGTTTCCAGATCCCACGTGGCCACGGACCTCCTTGTCTAAACACCCTTCTGCGCCAACAGTTTTTTGCCTCTGGAAAGTGCTTGTGCGTTCCGTTGCAGGGATGAAGACTTTTTAGAAATCACAGGTTTTCTAGATGACTGTGAGCTGTCATTGGATGAAAACAAGCCAGGGACACACATCCAATTAACTCCAGAGTCATTGTAGCTTTTTAAAAGACTCTGATGAGGGAAAAAAAAAAAAAATCAAGGCTAACATTTCGATAGAGGAGAGTCAGAAAACAGACTGGGTCAGTGATGCTCCAGCCCCGTTCTGCCATGCCATGGCTTGTAGAGTCAGCCTTGACAACAGAGCTCTTTGCTGTATGCAACAATTAATCTTTCTGGTTAAGAGAGAGAGATTAGAAGTCATCAGTTTTGATGGGAATGTGAAGCAACAGAACTCTCAGACACTGCAGATGGGAAATAACCCTGCAGGTGGGTATAGGAACCCTGGAGAACTGTGTGGAAAATACTACAGCTGAACATGCACACTATAACCCAGCAATCCCACTCGTGGGTATGTTTTCAGTACAATTGAAATAGTCCCAAATAATTCAGTACAATTGAAATAGTCCCAAATAGTCCCAAATAATAGAACTTAGTTGTGGCTAAGTTCTATTCCTGAGCAGGGCAGAATGAAAATGACCTATATTTTGATTGCAGTGATAGTTACACAATTTGTCAGAACTCATAGAACTGTACACTCAAAAGGGTGAATTTGATTGCATATAAATTATATATTAATAAAAAAGAAAACTGCCTGGCTAGCATTGCTCAGTGGTTGAACATCAACATGTGTACCAGGAAGCCATAGTTTGATTCCTGGTCAGAGCACATGCCTGGGTTACAGGCTCGATCCCAGGGGACATGGAGAGGCAGCCAAATCAATGGTTCTCTCTCATAATTGATGTTTCTATCTCTCTCTCCATCTCCCTTCCTCTCTGAAATCAATAAAATATTTTTTAATGTTTTGATTGATTTTAGAGAGAGAGGGAGAGAGAAACATTAGTATGTTGTTCCACTTATTTATGCATTCATTGGTTGATTCTTGTATGTGCCCTGACCAGGGATTAAACCCACAACCTTAAAATATTGGGACACCACTCTTACCAACTGAGCTACCTGGCTTAGTGCTAAATCTTAATTTTTTAATTTAAAAGTCATAAAAGAAAAGTAGAATGAGTAATTCAATTTAGGAGTATCCTATATAATAATATGCAAATTGACCCAATCGCAGAATGACCGGTTACTATGATGTGCACTGACCACCAGAGGGCAGACACTTAACACAGGAGCTGCCTCCTGGTGGTCAGTGTGCTCCCACAGGGCGAGTGGTGCTCAGCCAGAAGCCAGGCTTATGGCTGGCGAGCCCAGTGTTGATGGCAGGAACCTCTCCAGCCTCTGGTGCTGGCGGGCAATAAGGAAAAAGGGGTTCTGTACTGTGAGAACCCCAGTCTGAGAAAGGGATGTCTGACTGCTGGCTTAGGCCTGATCTCTGGGATCAGGGCTAAGTTAGCAGGTGGACATCCCCTGAGGGGTCCCGGACTGCGAGAGGGTGCAGGCCAGGCTGAGGGACCCCTCACCCAGTGCACTAATCTCGTGCACCAGCCTCTAGTATTCCTATAATGGAATACTACACAGTGATGAATGAAGTACTGCTAAAGGAAACATGGATGGGTCTCAAAATTATTGTGCTGAGTGAAAGAAGCCAGACGCAAAAGAGTAAGAACTCTATGATTTCACATATATGAAAGGTGAAACTTAGTGAACTCTGTGATTTCACAACTCTAGAACAGGTGAAACTAACCTGTCACAGCGGTCAGAATAGTGGTGACCTCAGAATTCAGGTAACTGGGAGGGACCAGGAAGAAACCGGGGATTGGAGACACTCCTGTACCTTGGGCTGTGTGGTGGTTCTTCAGGCCTCTGCTCTGTTCTTAACATGTGTGCCCTTGAGGAAATATTGACCATTCAACTTACACACACACACACACACACACACACACACACACACATAAATAAATAAAAAATACCCAAACATTATCTTGTCCTGGCTGGTGTGGATGTGGCTAAGTTCTATTCCTGAGCAGGGCAAATGCCTGGGTTCCTGTCTGGATCCCCAGTACAGGATGTGCAGGAAGCAGCTGATGGATGTTTCTCTCTCTCTCACTCTCTTCCCTTCTCTCTAATATCAATTAAAAGCAGAACATTATTTTAATGTTATCATTTTTTAGTATGAGTGTATGTTTATTAAAGCTGGGGGCAGTGAAACAAGAAAGGGTTTAGCATAGAAGAAGCAACAGGAGAGCCGAGGCTGGGCTGCCGTAGCTCCCTGGGAAGTCAGAGAAAAGGGAGTCTTGGAGACAGGTTCAGGGGGTGAGCCCAGGTCAAGCTGCCATTGCCCAGGCTCCCCTGTGTCCCTTAGAGTTTAGGAGATGCATGCCTTGGTGGTGGTGGTGGTGGTGGTGGTGGTGGTGGTGGTGGTGGTGTGTGTGTGTGTGTGTGTGTGTGTGTGTGTAGATAGAGAGAAGGAAGGGAATGGCACAGGTACATTCCCCAGGGGGAGAGCACGCTGAAAACATTTTTTTTTTTTTTTAAATTGTCATTGCAAGTTACCTGGAGAGCAATTCAGATGATGCCCAGACCCTGGGCCTGCCCACTGACTTGGCTAGGCCAGGCTCAGGCCAGATTCCCACTTGCGCCCAACCGCTTGCAGCTCTTTAACCACGTGAGCCGGCCGCACGTGGTTCCTTGCAGAGTAGAATTCCTGCCCCACCCTGGCCCAAGCAAAACAACCTTTAAAACTGGCCAGCAGCCCAGGATTTAAACCACTTCCTTGTCTGATCCTCTTCCCTTTATGAGCTGCCGGGAAGAAAGTTAAAGCTTCTCTTGCTGGAGGGCTGGGAGATTGGGCACCTCTGCTTCATCCCTTGAACTTCCCAGAGTCAGAAGGGACCCTGGCCAGGTTTGGAAAGGAGAACCCCGCCCCCAGGCTCAGGCCTGCACCGTCCTCAGGGTAGATGCCAGCACCAGGGACTTCTCTCGCGGTTTTGTCTCCTGGCTTGCCCCAACCCCCTCCTCGCCCTCCTTGTCTGTTTTCCCTGCAAAATGAGCTGAAAACTGACCTGGTGAGCTTGAGATAATATATAAAAGTGTCTGGAGCAGACTAAGTGCCCCGTGACTGCAGTTATGACTCCGAGGGCAGACATGGTTGTGCATGTCAGCACCTGGCACACAGCCTGGGCTTTGTTAGACACTCAGTGCCCGCTGCTCCCTCCTCCCCTGTGGTCTGATCCAGAGGGAGTGGGAAGAGCAGTCAGAGCAGAAGCCAGGCAGCCCAGCCCCACCCCCTTGGCTGCTCTGGGAGCAAGGCAGGAAGTGAGGAGACAGTCCTGGATTGCTGGAATGCCTTCTTTGCTCATATCTGCTGTGTGACCTGGGGCAAGTGAGTGCCCTCTCTGGGCAACTTGCCTTGCTCCTCTGTAAAACCAGACAGGGGAGTCAGACCAGATAGGGGGAATCAGGAGACCATCTGAGCGCTTAGGGTGGGGCAGATAATTCCCAGCAGGATAATGCTCAGGGCTCTTTTTCTCAGGGGCCTGCACAGCTGTTTCTCCATTTCTGGGGCAACCCCCCTCACCCAAATAAATCCTGGCCTTTGTGTCAGCTGCCTGTTTGGTGGATGGAGGGGGGAGGGGGCGGATTCTGAGTCCCATACTCCCTGAGCCGAGGTCCAGTCCCCAGGTACCTACACACACACACACACACACCTGTTGTGTCCTTGCAGGGGGCTCTGGAGCAGGAGTAAAAACCAATCCTTTGGGTATAACAAACTTGGAGGTCAAACTGAAGACAGGGCAAGTGTCCTTTAGACTCAGCCTTGGAACCTGGAGTCCCTTCTAATTGCTAGAAATAGCCTCCATTTCCCCATCTGCAAAATGGAATGAATAATCATCCCACCACCAACTTCACAAGGTAGATGAACTTCCACAGAAAGTGGTAATGACTCCTGCCGAGTATGCTCTGTATCAGACAGCATCTTATGTGTACATTTGCAAAGGAATCCCTGCAATCACCAACAGCTCACATTGGTAGTGATTGGGGGGGGGGGGGGCGGGGGGGAGTTAACAGAGCAGTGGTATTCCCAGAGGATTTCCTAAGATACCAGGTTTGGACCTGGGGCCGATTCTACCAGATTGGCGGTTTCCCATTTGCTGATCTTGAACTCCTGGGTGGTGGAAGCTCTGTTGGGCACTGGGATACTGAGGAAGTCCATTTCCCTAACAGGGCAATGGATTGGTAAATTGGTAGGCTTCTGAGTATGACAATTGAAATTGAGTCTTACAAGAGGAATAACAGATAAGGGAGAGCCTGAGGGTGATGCAACAGATGCAAAGGCAGGGAACCGAAGAGCGAGGTATGGAGCTTTTGTCAGCGGGAGCAATGAGGCTAGTGAGCAATGAGTTCTGGAGGAGTGTTGGGTTTACTCTTGCCTTCTTGGTTCAAAGTTTAGGAAGGCCGCATGAGTAGCCAGATGAGGGGAAAAGTCTCAGCAAGACGTGGGAAGACAGCATGAGGCAGCCTCCCCAGCAGTCTTCCAGCCCCAATCTGCCCATCTGCCTCTGCCCTATCCCGCCATCAGCACCTGCCGTGATCTTGTCAAGGGCTCCACAGAACACAATGCTGGTTGCTCAACCTGTTCAGCGCTTTATTGAAACAAGGCCCTTACAGATGACTCATCAGAGCCTTCAAGCACAGCCCTCCCCACATCCTGAGATTAAAAGGTCAGAGATGGTTCTGTCCTTGGTTGAGCTGCTACCTCATTTCCTCTTGAATATTTTCCAATCTTAAAAATGTAAAGATTTCGTCCAGAAAGATACATACATACTCTTGTCGAAGGCTGTCAGGCTCACTGAAATGCTTCCACCCGGGGGTTTATGTGCAAGGCATTGCTCATCTACAGCTCTCCATCCACTCCTCATCCATCCATCTGTCCATCCATCTGTCCATTCATGACAAGACAGCAGCAAGTTCTCAGAAGTCAGGCCCCAGGGTTCACAGCAGTGGGGGCTGGGCTTCCAGGGAGGTTAAGGACACAGGCCTCAGCCCTCACCCAGGGGCCCCTGCATATAACATCCCTTTCCGAGGCTGCAGAAGACAGGCCGAGTGGGGAATTAAGGTTTCAGTCTATAGCCCCAACAGGATCCGGAGAGCCTAATGGGTAACTTCGAGTGGGGCAGCCCTCCCTTCAGGGGACCGCTTAGCTGCCTGTGGGTGTCCTGAGATGGGAACAACAATCAGACAGACAAATCAAGCATGCAGGTAACACTGAAACAGGAAGAGGAAGAGCTTACGTCTGTGCTGGAGGTGCACGTAAGGAGGGACAGGAAAGGGGACACGCAGACGCAGGTAGGAGTGCTACTGAGGGCCGGGCACAGTGCTCCTCCCAGGGCTGAGGTGTCCCTCAGCCTCAAACATACAAAGCCCCTAGGGAAAAGGGGACTTTTCTGGACACAGGAAGACAAAGTGTTAACCCAGACAAGGATGAAAAAAAACATGCAAAAGGTTCCTGTTGGACACAAAAGACTTCCTTCGAGCTGGACATAATCCAGTTTCACTGTCAATAGGCCGGGGTTCTTCTAGGGGCTGGGGTGTTGGGAGAGGGGTGGCACCGGGATATGGAGTATGGTTGGAGTGAAACAAGGGGATCAGGACTGGGGCGGGCGGACAGGACACCCTCCCTGTCCTGGGGCCTCCAGCAGATCCTCAGTATTACAGGCCTCTGGGTAGCTGATGCCCAGGCCACTCGAGGCAATGAAGGAGGGTGAGTCCGCGGGCAGCCTCTCACTGGTCCTGCAGGCGGCTGCAGAGCTCCCTCCGGCTCCGCTCCCCGGCCCAGCTGCGCGTCTTGAGGCGGAAAGTCCTCAGCTTGTCCCTGAAGGCCTCGTGGTTCATGGGCCGATAGTCCTGGGGTTCACAGAAGGTCTAGGGCAGGATGGGAGAGGTCAATCGATATGGGGGAATGGGGAATGGGGCGGGCAGCCCTCCCTTCTTCTCTTAGGGTGTTGCCTGGCCAAGCCCTTCCCTTGTAGCCCGACTCTCCCCCAGCGGCCGTGGCCACCCCCGCCTGCGGTACCGGGTGCTGTGGGAAGAACTCCTTGTAGCCGCCTTTGAGGATGTACATCTCAGGGTAGTAGAGGCTGGGGTAGTCATTGATGGTGCGATCTCGCTCCCTGATGAAACGGCACCTGGGACCCATGGATGCGGGAGTCAGGGCTGGGCATGTGGTAGGGTTGACCACAGGGAACCCGCTCCCTGCCCACTCCTCTGAGCAGAACCACAAAAGGCACTTTTAGGTCAGACTGGCTACTGGGCACTGAAGAGGCTGAGAGATAGAAGGAAGAAGGAAAGCCAAGGGAGCCTCTCTGTTTCCAGAAGGCAGCTGCAGAACCGTTGTCAGTGTTTTCAGGCCTGGACTGGGAGAGGGGAAGCAGAATGAAGAGGAGCTGCCAGAATTCAAGAGATATGCTCAGGAGGTCAAGACTCGGTGAGGGCAAGGGGTGGGGAAAGGAAAGGACATCTGAACACCAGAAGGGTCAATGTCACTGAGGACTGGGACTGGGTCCTTGGAATTTAAGGACACTGGGAGGGGGTGACAAAGGATAGAGGGTGAGGCTTGATGGGAAGGACTGTCAGAGGGAGACAGGGGGAGGGTGCCATGCACAAGGAAGTGGGGATGAGGTCTGCTTCAGGCAGTCAGACGAGACAAAAGGCCCAAGCCAAGGAGGGGCCTGGCCCAGGCTCTTGGCCATAGGATGGCCCCAGCACCCACAAGCTTGGGTGGAGCTGGGACTCACATGCGGGGCCCACGCTCAGATGAGAATTCACAGTGGAAAATGAGGATAATCCTCTTGTCCAGGCTACAGGGTGTGATGGGGCTCTGCAGCAGGAACATCTCAGCATCCTGTTCCAGGGGCAGGTTCACAGCAGTCTGCAGGGTAACTGGAGGTCAGGCCGCTGCCCTGGGCCTGGCTGGCAGACCCCGCCCCTAGGCAGCTCCCATCTTTCAAAAGGGTGACCCCACCTCTTGCTGGGCAGGACCCTTCCCCACAAGAGGGCGCCCCACAGGTGAAGGATAGAACGGGTGGGTCTTCAACACCTCTCCTGTCTTCTGCCTCACCTTGATGTGCCCGCCTTCGTACTCGTAGGGGTATCTGCAGTCCACAATCACGAACCTCTCCACAATGTTGCTGAACTTGCCCGTCAGCAGGGCCACCATCTGCAGGAGGCCACGGAGGTGGGTTCCAGCAGGTCAGGGGCTGGCTCCTCTCCCCACCCTGCCCAGCGCTTGCAGCCCATTCTCAGCAAAGGGTCCCAGGCGAACGGCTCATCTGCACATACCGTTTCTGGTGAGATGTACTTGAGGTCTTGGTGCTTCCCATCCACAGTCTGTAGGAGGAAGGCCTGCAGTGAAGCGGGGGGAGAGAGAGCACGTGAGAAGGAGAAGGGGAAGAAGGTGACATGGGGAAGATGAGGAGCACGGAAAGGATAGAGTTTCTTTCCCAAGCCCAGAGGCCACACCTGATTTGACCTTCAAATTCAGCTCTGATTCCCATAGCAACCGAGAGGAGCCTTTTGGGTCTGATGCCCCAGGAACAAGCTTCCAAGGGGAAATGAAGGGGAGCAGAAGCGATGGACTCCTGCCTCTACCTCCAGTTCTGCCAAGCCCGGGGAATGAGGCCCGAGGAGGGTCAAGCTAGACGTCTGTTTGGAAGTGTTTTCCAAGGTGCAGACATCACCGATGCGTGGACACATGTGAGATAGAAGCAGAGAGTAGAGTCCGGGAGAGAGTAAAGGACGATAGCATGCAAAGGACAGAGCAAATGGGCCTCTGGGGAGAGAGGATGGCACCGAAGCGGCTGCTGGGCTCGGGGGCTCCTGTTGGCAAGGGGTGGAGCCTGAGGGTCTTGCCAGCCCGTACCTTCGAGTAATCCCCAATCAGCTCACGGTGGTCACTGTCCAGGATGTTCTCAATCTCGTCGTGGCACAAGGACTTGGAGCGAAGGACACGGGCTTTCTGTGAGACAGAAGGCAGGCAAGAGCAGGGGGAAGCTGCCCCTCCAGGTCCAGTCTGGCTGGTTACCCCACCCTCGCACCCAGCCTGGCCTGCACCCTGGCCGAGAAGGGCTTGCAGGGGAGACTGGGAAGGTGGCAGCCCCGCCCCAGGAGGTGGCTCTCACAGGTTCCTCGGCCTCCTGGTGCTCCTCCAGAGGGGTCACACTCCTCCTCCGCTTGTTCTGTATGGGCAGGTCCCTGTCCTGGGGCCGCTCGAGTCTCTTGAGGATGGGCCGGATCACACCACAGGGCATGGACGGAGAGCGGAAGAGCCGCTGGCACTTGCTGTACATGATGAGGTCCTGGCAAGGGCAGTAGGTCAGGGGTCAGAGTGCTTGGCTCCTGCTTCCCCCCAATCCCACCTGGAAGGTAGGGGGCCACCCCAGAAGCTCACCTGCTCCTCCTCCTTTTCCAAAGTCTTGACCAGCGGGGCACTAATGAGGCTCTCCATGCCTGGAGGAACCGAATCATCGTCCTGAAGACAAATCAACAAGGATATGGGTCACACCAATAGGCACAGGCCAAATCCCTCAGGCCCCAGTCCTCCATGCAGCCTTCTCTAGCCCTGCCAGCACCTCCACTCAGGGCAGCCCCCCAGAGCCAGGAGAGGGCTGGGGCCCTTCTCTGCTGGGGCTTGCACAGAACCATGAGAAGTCCTGTAGGGGTGCATTCCCTCCGCCCCGCCCATCCTCCCCCCACTGCAGCACCAGCCACTGCTCTTCTCTGATTGGCCAGAGCTCTGGCTGTGACTCAGTTACCTCAGGTCTTCTGACCCTGGGATGGAGCTCAGAGCGCTCCTCTTTGGGACATGGCAGGGAGGGAGGTGTAGGGGGCCTGATGGAGCAAGGCTGCTTACCTTTAAGTCATTCTCCAGGATGTCCACAAACCCGTCATCTTCTTCGGGAACCCCCTTGGTGGGGGTCAGGGGGAAGCGCTGGGCCAGGGGACTCAGCTCGTCTACTTCCATCTTCCGCTCAGGGGTGAGACACTGGTATGGGTGATGAACAGATGCAGGCTACTCAGGGATGGGGACCCAAGGAAGTCCCCACCCCTATTCTTCTGATAAAAGGTTCCCCTGCCTCAGGCTCAGAACCACCCTCCCATCACCAGGCTGCCTTTGGGGGCACCTGCCCTGTGTGCGTGCCTGCCCTGCAAGGGTCAGCTGTCCCCATGTACCATCAAGTCGGGGGCCGAGCTTGGCCTCTGGGCAAAGGCTTCCCTGCGGTTGGCCCACTCAGCCAGAGCATGGGCGTGGTTGGGATGTGTGGGCTTCCATGGCATCTTGAAGACAAATCCATCCTGTGGGTAGGGGGTGGGGGGGATGGGAGGTGGTGTTAGCAAATGCCAGAGAACCACCCCAGCGTGCCCCCTTCTCTCCCCGAGAGTTCCCATCCTGGCCTGCGCACATTCTCCTTATCCTCCTCGGAGCTGTGGGCAGTTTGGTCCTGAGCCTCGCTCTTCTTCCAGTTGCCAGGCGCTTGGGCATTGGTGATGTTCCGTAGCACAGGGCTGTGGCCCAGAAGCCTCACCTGGGGAGCCGGGGGGGAGGGGAGTGCGGGTGTAGGGGGGAGGGCGCAGCAGGTACTGAAGGTTACATTTCTCTGGCACCAGCCCAGGCCCTACCTTCTCCCATCCCTCCCCTGAACCCCTCTGCTCACCCATTCACCACCCCAACTCCACCTCCCACAGCCAGACCAGGAGTTGGGCCTTAGAACCCTCCTGCCCTTCCTCAGAGGGCACTCACCGGCAAGGACTGGAAGCGGCGGATGGTGAACTGCTTGCTGCAGAAGGAAACAGGGACACATCAGGGCTGGGGAGTCTGGGACCGTCATGGCGAGCATGCAGGATGCCCCTCCACCAGAGCCCCGAGCACCTGCCCATGCCAACGGGCGCAGAGGTAGCCTATGGTGGGTAGGCCATCGGGGCCTGTACGGGGAAGCCCAAGTGCTCACCTTCGAACGAACCGGCTCGCTGCCTGGATGGCCTGTTCAAACCTAGGAGAGAGAGAAGGGTCCCATGCAGCCCACCTCCCACCACAGCCCAACAGCCACCTCCAGCATCAGGTCCCCAGCCCACAAGACCTAAGGACCCGGGCTAAGGACAGTGGAGAGGGGAAGTAGGAAGAATGTCAACTATCTGGGGACCCAGATATTGAGGAGGGGGAAGATGAGAGTCAGCCTGGGATTTTAAAGACTCCCTGAATGGAAGCGGGCCAGAGAATGGCAGCAATGGAGACAGCTGGCGTAGGTCAAAAGGTGGCTGAGCGTTACCCAGACAACGGTCATGCCAGCCTGCCCACAGGCCTTCCACCTGTATGCAAATCACCTCAGCGGGGCCATATGGCCGCCAGGAGAGGCATTCATCCATCCCATGATGACAGGCCTTGGCTGACACGGTGGGTGTTGCAGAGCCTGGATGCCAGGGCTTCCCTCCCCTTGTGTGGAGCTCTCTGGGCTCCCCCCAGGATAGCGGCCTGGCTTAACGTGCCCTCGGATCAGCCAGTTTGCCATGCCCGCCCCCCTAGTGACAAATGTGCAGGGTTACACCCTCTTCTCCCTCCTATGGAATTTTTCAGGACCCAGCCTCTGCCACACCCCCTCCTTCTGCCTGAGGAGAGGCCAGCAGGCAAGGAATTCCAACAGATGTTCCTTTTGAGGCTGGAGCACAAGCTTCTGTAGACGGCCCCCCTTCCCCAGCTATGTTGCCAGAGACCACCTGCCATGCAGGGCTTTGTTCATCTATGCGTACACTCACACACTCTCTCTCTCTCTCTCTCACACACACACACACACACACACACACACTCACGGGCTTCTTTCTGAGAAACCGTGTAACCGTCAAAGCAGGTGCGGGGTGCGGGGAGGGGGGGGGCACTGAGGAATAAAATGTCAGGGGGTTGGGCCCCAAGGTGTGGGCAGATGTCTGTGCCCAAACAGCCTGACATTAGGGATAACCAATTTCATAGGCTTGGTCTCCAATCTGCACCTGAGCCTTGGGGTAAAGCAGGGGCAGCCCGTTGCCACCAAAACCCTCCACCCAATTCTTTTCTCGTTTCCTGTTTGTGAGCAAACTCTGTAGCCCAGCCTAATCTGATCAAAGGCAGTGGGAGGAAAAACAGCCACTGCCCTAACTCAAAGCCATAGTCCCCCAGCCAGGCTGGGGATGCCCAGCTGTTCTCACTAATGCCTGGCAGCTGCTCTCCCTCCTGAGGCTTGAACAGCTGGATAGGACAGCTGTGCTCTAGAAAGTACTACTCCTGCCCCTTAACCAAGGGGGTGGGATCTAGCCCACCAGCTCCCTCTCCAGGCCATCTCTCAAAGAGCCTGGTCCAGGGGTGGACAAGAGGGTCAAGTATCACTGAAGCCAGAGGTTGCTGGTAGGATGGCTGAGGGCCAGCCTGTTGCAACTATTTTGTTTGGCCTAAAGTGATAAAAGTTTTAAATTAGTTGGACCATATTTTAAAATTGTGATATTTCACACACACACACACACACACACACACACAGGCAGAAAGGAAAACAGGACACATACCAACCTATCTACCCTAATAAAAGAGAAATAAATATATAAATTGAGCATACCTCCACTAGGCCCATCAGCCAATCAGGAGCAAGTATGCAAATTAACACAACAAAGATGGTGGCTTAATTTGCATACACAGGTGAGGAGGGGCTGGGCAGGGCAGGATGCCTGCTATTAGGGGGGGAAGGTGGGGAGCATAGTGGCGCTTGCAGGCTCCGGGGAGGCAGCCGGGAGCGAAGACTTGCAAAGGCTCCCGGATGGCCGGGAGTGAAGCCAGGGGAAGGAAGGCCTATTCTTGCATGAATCTTCATGCAACGGGCCTCTAGTATTCCCATTAGGGCTGACTGGCATCAAGTATCTGCTGCTCCCAGAGGCTGCCATCCCCACCACCCTGGCCCTGAGCCTACTCTCAGATGCTCCTGTGAGAACAGACCCTTCTCCGAGACAGGGGGCAAGATCCCAGTACTTAGGAAAGTCAATCAGTCCCCCCCCCCCCATATGGGGATCCAGAGGGGTCTGTCCACTCTCCCAGGCTTCCCCAGCGAGTTTACGCTACAGCTGGGATTCCCAAAGGCAGGTGCCAAATCCTGTAGCGGGGATCCCTCTTCGTTACTCACGTCTGCTCCGCCATCTGGGGGTCCATGGGGCTGGGAGGATCCATGCAGAGCCCTGGGGGGACAGAGTGCTTTGGTTTGGAAGAAGTGCCATTTTCTGTATACCTGCCCCCACCATGTCCCAACTCTATTCAGAGAAGGAAAAAAACTGTTTCTATTTTAAATCTTGGCATTACACAATGAAGCAAAACCCACCCATGGACCCCAACAGCTGAGCCTGCCCCCACCCCCCACCCTCAAATGTCCAGGGCTCCACTCCCGGTTTACTATGAAAACACTTCTGCATGGTTTGTAAATCAAAACTTTGTTAAGCATTTTCCTTGAACTGGTTTAAGATCATTTGTTCTGCGAGAGATAACAGCTTTTTAAAAGGGAAATATTATAGCTGGGGGCAAGTGGGTGTTATAAAAGAACCAGCTTTCTGTTCTAAAGCCTCCCAGGTGGGGCTGTGGTTCCGGGCCTTTGGTTTTAAATAGGTGAGGTCTCGTCTCCCGCAGAGGGACCCCGCCCAACCGCCCAACCACCACCGGTCCTGCCGGGATGTGGTGAGCCCAGCCCGAGGAGGGCTGGGGGGGGGGGGTTTCTCAGGCCCCCGGTGGTTGGAAGGACTTTAGTCTGATTGGCAGGGAAATGAGGAGGCTCGGGCAGCCCCGCAGAGTCCCCGGGCACCCTTGGGCCTCACCTGCATCCGAAGATTCAGAGGACTCAGACGACAGGGAGGATGCAGATGCTCGCCGCGGGGACAGGGATAGGCTTGTGAGCAGGCTGCCTACCTGACTCTGTGGGGCCTCTCTGGGAAGGGAGCGGGGACCCAGGGAAGCAGAAAGGTAAATGTGGGGTTCAAGGGCTGGCTGGCCCATGTTCCCACCAGCCCCCCACTTCTGAAGGGCCCACCCAGCCTCTGCACTGCCCCAGGGTTGGTGATGGCATGGAAAACCTGCCCTCTTCTCTGCAGGCAGGCTCCCGGAGGCCCTAAGAGTCTTCTCTTGGTTGGTGGGTTTAGGAAAGATCCTCCAGGGGGGACAGGGGGAGGTGAGCCCAAGACCAGAGGAAGGCGCTGGGCTGGGGATCATCCTGGGGGTGGGGCAGGAGAGCAGCCCGGAGAGCCTTTCAGCTCCTACCCATCCACAAGCCTTCCTAAGGGGACACCAAGACTTGGGCTTCTGTTGCTGGGAGGACAGCCCAGCCCGGAGCCTGCAGGTAACTCAGGGAGCAGACCAGCGTTTAACCCTTTAACCCCCAGGAAGGAACAGGGGTAGAGGGAGCAGGGGCAAGGGTCCTAGGAGAACTGGATTGCTCTGCCACCTAGTTCCCCTCCAGGCTCCCGATCCCCTGCCTGGGGCAAAATGGTGGAGATATGGGCTATAGGGAGGCAGCACGAGGGAGGCACACTGAGGGAGGAAGGGAAGGAGAAGGAGGAAGAGGAGGAGGAGGGGAAAAGGAGGATCTTCAGAGTCTGGTGCCGAGTAAGAACAGGTCGCCTAGAGCTCTCTGTCAGCAGCACAGTCCTGGCCTCACCGCCCCTGTCCCGGGTCCCCAAAGCAGGCTCTACCCGGGATGCCTCCTTCCTCGCCTCTCGGATTCGGATCCCACGCGGGGTTCCCCAGGAGGCCCGGGACCAACACCCCAGTGCCCACCTCTCACCCCACTCCCGGCCTCCTTGGGACGCCCTACCTGCCGAGCCCGGCGAGGTCGTGCATGGTCCGGGTGAGGGTGGCGACCGGCGAGAAGGTGGCCGCGCGCTCCGGGGACCCCAGGAGGCCCTGCGCTGCCGGCCGCAGGCCCGGGAGGTGGCCCGGGCGCTCGACGGCCCCGCGCACGGCGGCGGGGCTGCGCGCGGGGCTCGGCGCGGCGGGGTCCCGCTGCAGCAGCTCCATCGCGCTGGGGCCCGCGGCGGCTGGCCGGGGGGCCGGGACACCCCCAAACGCCGGGCAGGGCTGGTCCGGTCCCGGGGGGGAGCGGGCCTGGGGTGGAGGCGGGGGGAGGGAGGAACACGGGGCCGGGGCGAGGGAGGCGAGGGGAGCGGGGGAGCGGGGAGGGGTGAGGGCGCGGGGACCGGCCGCCGTGCGGGAGCCTCCAGCAGCAGCAGCTGCACCTCTGCTCCTTATATATTCGAAAAATAACAGCGGCCGCGCCGCCGGCCGCCACCAATCCGGGCGCGGGTTCGCGGAGGGCGGGCCGGAGGGCGGGCCCCGCGGGGGGAAGGCGCGGAGGCCGGCCCGGCCCGCGCAGTTTCCGCGGACGCGGAGGAATTGGGGTTCCTCCCCGGCCCCACCCTCGGCACCCCACCCCTGAAGTCCGGGCCTGCGAGTCCCGGCTTCCCACATCCGGTGTCTCGGGATGTGGTTTGGAGTTAGGCGGAGCGGAGCGGGTCCCAGGGGAGCCACAGCCCCTGAGACGGCCTTGGGGGGCGGGGGGGGGGGGGCGAACCCCGCGGTTTAATGTCATTGACAAGCGCCGCAGGCAGCGAGGGGCACCGCCCAGGAGTGTGCCGCACGCAGCGGCACTGGGAGGCCGGGGCTGCCGCTTTGCAGGTGGGGCCACCGAGGTGTGAAGTTCACGGGCGCGTTCAAAGCCGCTGGTGGGGCCGAGGCTCTCCCTCCCCGGGCACCTCCGCCCGCGCAGCCCCCCTGCCCGGACAGCGGCCCCGAGCCCGTTCCCTTGGGAGCCCCAGGGGGAGGGGAGCCGCGATGGGGCCAACGCGGAGCTGATGGGCGCTTCCCGGGGTGGGGGGTGGGGGTCCAGGTTAGAGGAGACGCCTGGGGTCCAGGTTTCTCTGGGGAGGCTCTGTGGTTGCTGTAGCCGCGAGTTCGGGTGGCGAGGGCCAAGGAGGGTGTCGGTGACCATTGATCTCAAAACCCAGTTGTGGAAGTAACTCCCTTCCGTGGATGGTTTGGCTAATGCGGTGCCAATGGGCATCCCGATGTTTAATTGGTGTTCCTTTGATCATCCGGGAGGCGGAATTTGTCACTAGTTTAAACTGAGCATCTTCTAATCATCCTTCCAGCAAGCCCGCTTTCCCGGAATGAGGCAGGCTGTGCCCAAAATCAAGTGGGCGCGAGCCGCTGGTGCATCCTGTCTTCCCGGGACAGGGAGGGACAGGGACGGGGACGAGGCGGTCCTCGGCTGGAAGGGGCAGCCTCTGGCAGGCAGGAGCTGCAGCCTGCCCCCCTTCCAACCACCCGCCCCTGGCGGCAAAAAGGAAGGCTGGCAGCGGGGGGTGGGGCCTGCCAGGAACAGAGCGCAGAGGAAGGGGATGGGAAGACCAGTCCCACCTCAGAGGGGTGACCTGGGAGGGCATCATGACCCTTCTTTCAACATTGTGCCTAGCCCCTGTGCTGTGCCAGGAGCTCTGCTGGGTGCTGGGCAGGAAGGCTGAAGTTCCAGGACAAGAGTCCAGCTCCGAACCTCCGAGATTCAAGGCTGTGACTGCCCTGGGAGCCAACCAAAGACCAGAAATTAAACTGCCCTGAGGTTTCATTGTCAAAATCAGCCCAGCAGGGGTGAGCCACACCTTGCTTCTGCAGGGTGCAGAGGTGGTGGGAGTAAGCGGGGAGAGGGCCGTTCTATTCCAGTCCCTTGAGTTCCCACAGTCCAGTCACCTCTGGGCCGGTGGAGAGGAGCCAGGACCACAGAGGTCATTCCAGAGCATCCCACACGGCAGCTCTGTGTATCTTCCTCAATCTCCTTTTGCCAATTAGATGTGTTTAAACACACACACACACACACACACACACACACACACACACACACAAAACACCTGGTCAATAAAAATATGCTAAAAGAAATTGCAACCCTAACCAGTGTGGCTCAGTGGATAGAACATAGGCCTGCGGACTGAAGGGTCTAGGGTTCGATTCTGATCAAGGGCACATACCTGGGTTACAGGCTTGATCCCCAGTAGGGGGCATGCAGAAGGCAGCCTGTCAATGATTCCCTCTCATCTGATGTTTCTATCTCTTCTTTCCTTTCCCTTTCTCTCTGAAATCAATACAAACATTAGAAAGAAAGAAAGAAAGAAAGAAAGAAAGAAAGAAAGAAAGAAAGAAAGAAAGAAAGAAAGAAAGAAAGAAGGAAGGAAGGAAGGAAGGAAGGAAGGAAGGAAGGAAGGAAGAAAAAGAAAGAAAGAAAGAAAGAAAGAAAGAAAGAAAGAAAGAAAGAAAGAAAGAAAGAAATTGCAACCCTGGCAGGGTGGCTTAGTCGGCTGGAGCATTGTCCTATACACCAAAAGATTTCAGGTTCAATTGCAGGTCAGGGCATATATTGAGGTCCAGGTTCGATGCTAGCTGATCGATGTTTCTCTCTTATTGATGTTTCTAACTCTCTATCCTTCTCCCTTCATCTCTGTAAAAAATCAAAATATATTTTAAAAAATGAAAAAAAAAAAAAAAAGCAATTGCAAACATCATAGTTAGAGGATCAACTCCTCCCATCCAGCCACCCTTCTGGGCAGAAAGCTCTGTCTTCCCAGGGAAAGGAATGACCTGGCAGCAGACTGTACACATCAAACACTGGGCTTGGTTAAAGGGTGTGGCATGACCCCAGGGCACTGCCAGAGAGGAGGAAAAATTACCACATGCTTGGAAAATCCTGCTTCTTCAAGCCTCAACAAACAGCATCTTCTTTGTGGGACTAATTCTTCTGCTACCTTTTTTGGGCATCATGGATTGTGACATTAAATGGTTTCTTTGTTTTTAAGTCCTAACCTGATGATATGTTCTATTATTATTTTTAATATATTTTATTGATATTTTACAGAGAGGAAGAGAGGGATAGAGAGTTAGAAACATTGATGAGAGAGTATTATTGATCAGCTGCCTCTTGCACACCCCCTACTGAAGATGTGCCTGCAACCAAGGTACATGGCCTTGACCAGAATTGATTCCGGGACCTTTCAGTCCGCAGACTGATGCTCTGCCCACTGAGCCAAACCGGTTTTGGCTATTATTATTATTATTATTATTATTGAGTTTTAGAGTGAGAGGAAGGGAAAAAGAGAAACATCAGCGAGAGAGAAACATCTATCGGCTGCCTCCTGTATGTGCCTTGACTGGGGATTGAACCTGCAACCTTTTGGTGTCCAGGACGCCGCTCCAACAACTTAGCCACCCGACCAGGGCAACATGTTAAGAGATTTTTAAAAGTTGGTACCTGGGCTACGGCAGTGGCAGCCCCAGGAACCGTGTGCCCTGCTCTTCCTTTTCCATCCGCCATCTGTGGTGGAGCCACCGCCAAGATGCAGATTTTCGTGAAAACCCTCACGGGGAAGACCATCACTCTGAGACTGAACCCTTGGATACGATAGAAAATGTAAAGGACGCTGAGACCAGTTTGGCTCAGTCGATAGAGCGTTGGCTTAGGGACTGAAGGGTCCTAGGTTCGATTCCGGTCAGGGGCATGTACCTTGGTTGCGGGCATATGTTTCTAACTCTCTATCTCTCTCCCTTCTTCTCTGTACAAAATCAATAAAATATATTTAATAAAAATAAAAAAATTAAAAAAAGAAAATGTAAAGGCCAAGATCCAGGATAAGGAAGGAATTATCCTGACCTTTGCTGGAGTACTTTGTCTGACTACAACATGCAATGTTCATTTTGTGTTGAAACTTCGTGGTGGTGCTAAGAAAAGGGAGACATCTTACTCCACTCCCAAGAACAAGCATAAGAGAGAGAAGGTGAAGCTGGCTGTCCTGAAATACTGCAACATGGATGAGAATGGCAAAATCAGCCGCCCTCGTGGGGAGTGCCCTTCAGATGAATGTGGTGCTGGAGTTTTTATGGCCACCACTTTGACAGACATTATTATGGCAATGTTGTCTGACCTATTGCTTCAAAGAAGACAAATAATTGTATTTGGGTTAATAAAAGACATGAACTAACATTTTTTTTAAAAAAAAATTGGTACATGGTACCAAAAATTCAGACAAAGTATAAAATTTAACTAGTACACGCCAAAAACGGTTTGGCTTAGTGGATAGAGAGTCAGCCTGCGGACTGAAGGGTCCCAGGTTCAATTCCAGTCAAGGGCATGTATCTTGGTTGTGGGCACATTCCCAGTAGGGGGCGTGCAGGAGGCAGCTGATCAATGTTTCTCTCTCATTGATATTTCTCTCTATCCCTCTCCCTTCCTCTCTGTAAAAAAATCAATAAAATATATTTTAAAAAATAGTTTTCTCTAATAATTGATGTTTCTATTTCTCTCTTCCTTTCTCTAATAATTGATGTTCCTCTCTCTCTCCTCTCTTCTCCACCACAGATGGCAGATGGAAAAGGAAGAGCAGGGCACACGGTTCCTGGGGCTGCCACTGCCGCAGCCCAGGTACCAACTTTTAAAAATCTCTTAAAAAAAACACACAAAACAGACAATGGAAGATAGGGATGCCTGGCACCCTGCTGGGCCCAATAAGTAATTGAATGATTACATGTTGAGCTTCTGGAAAATGGTATTTAGAAGAAAGGGTTCCTAAAATAAAAGAAGTTTGAAATTCACGGAGGTAGATATTTGTTGACATGAAAAGATGTTCACAATATTGGCTACAAAATATTATGCTAAGTGATCCTATTAATAACAATATGCACAGAAAAGTGTCCTTTAAAGATATTCTCTGGGTGGTGGAATTAAAGGTGATTAAATGTTGCCCTAGTCAGTTTGGCTCAGTGGATAGAGCCTCAGCCTGTAGACCACATGTGTCAAACACAAGGCCCTCGGGCCAAATCCGTCCCGCCAGGCCTTGCAATGTGGCCCGCACCGCGCTGTCATCACTGCACTCCGCTGGGTTTCCATCACAATGACAGTTTATGACTGTTCAGTAAACCATTCGGCCCGCGATTTAGGCTGGATTTTAGATTTTGGCCCCTTCTCTGATTGAGTTCGACACCCCTACTGTAGACCAAAGGATTTGGAGTTTGATTGCAGCCAAGGGCATGTACCTTGGTTGCAGGCTCCTCCCCAGCCTGGGGCCCTGGCCAAGGTAGAAGACAACCAATTGATGTGTTAC